AGCACTCAGCAACAGCTCTCATCTCATCAGGGTTCAAAGCCGAAGTCCTCATGGTGGCCCACAGATCCCTACAAAATCTGCCCAACCTCCAGCTCTGTCCCCGACAGCTCTGCACCTGGGTCACACCGCTCTGGACGTGGCCAGGCCTCCAGGCCACGCACTGGCTGTCCACTCTGCCCAGGACGCTTTCCCCATGTCCTCACCTCTAACCCTTTCAAGTCTCTGCTAACGTCACCATCCAGGAACACCTGCTCTGATCCCACTATTGAGAACTGCATCCCGTCTCCCTACACACCTGCCCTGCTCCGCACCCCGTCTAGTATGTTCCGTGGGACCAGGTGGCTTACTCATTCCGTCCACTGCTTCCTGTCTCTCCCCCGACTAGCATGTGTGTGTCACAGGGGCACGGACCAGGGCTCCCCCGCTCCTCCAGGCACCCTTAGTGCCTAGACGAGTGGCAGACACACAGTAGGTGTCTAAGCGCTCTGTGTCACACGGTAACCACCCGGGTGAGAGCTGGCCAGACTGGCAGGAAGGGGAGGACTCCTGCAGGCGTCTCAGCCTGAGACAGGAGAGGACGGGAGGCTGGGAGCCCAGCTGGCACCTGTGGTGCTGGGGCCGACGCCCTGCCCCACGTGAAGGATGAGCTCAGCTGGAGTTAGTGAGGGACAGACTGGTGGGCGGAAGTGGACAGAGGAGACCCCACAGCGTGGCTGCCCACAATTCCGGCCTGGTGCTGGTGGCCGCTCACCCGTAGAAGGGCAGCTCGTGGCACTTCAGGAGGTAGGCGCGGTAGTGGGTGCTCAGGGGGGCCTCACACTCGCTGCTGCTGCCAAGCACGTCTTTCACCTCGCGGTAGGCATTCAGCAGGCCCTGCTCACCGGTCCCAGCCCTGGCCCCGCGGCCACGGAAGGCAGCAAAGAGGCCATGGCCCCGCTTACAGAGGTGGGCAGGGAGGAAGGAGTCCAGCTTCTCCCTGGAGATGAAGGAAGACGGATGGTTAGCTTAAGGAGGGCCAACGCAGGGCTGGGGCCTGGCTGGAGGCGCCAAGAGCCTCGGGGCGGTGCCACACTCAGGCCTGAGGGCAGGGGCAGCAAATGCAGGCCCCCAGGGCACGCCCACAGCTCTCTCCCATCCAGTGGGGACCCTGAGGCCCTGGCCTGGATGCCCACCACAGAGACCACCAATGCTCCGCTCAGGGTGCCATGCCTGAGGTGTTCTAGGGACAGTGTGGGGTGGAGGGCTGGGAGCTCTTCCCATGAGGAGAACACGGAGGTGGAACTGGACAGGGGAAGAGGACACACAAGCTACTTCCAAGTCAGAGGTCCGGCAAGTGGCCCGGGGAGGGAGGCACGGCACCAGACGGACACAGAC